CAATATGGTTTTGGTTTGATGAAGTTTAATTTCTAATTGAGACTACAGTTCTTCAATTTCTGTAACTTTTGGTCAACTTAAAAAAGAAAAAGAAAAAAAAAAAAAAACAAGATACCTGTAATTGAATAAAAGCAGGATGGATACATTTTATGCCATATTGTGGACATTCAAGGCAAAGTAATAGAGACAAGAAAGGTGACAGACCCTCCAACAGAAAAGGTTCATAATGCACCTCTGAGATAAATAGTGGGCAGAAAGATCGGACCATCCTTTAAAATGACTATTGTAAGTGAGGGAAAATGACATTATTACACATTATTTAGTAATTTTAGTGGTCATTTACACTTATGTTATTTTTAACATGTCTAGATAGCAACTGAGGTCTGATTAAAGCTTTAGGAGAGTCTTCACTTTTTGGTAATGGGTTTAATACCCATATCTTTAAAATATAAACTAATTACAGTACCATGACTCTAAACGTTTTCTTTTTGAAGAATTTGAGAATATCCGGCACATGTCAGAACTGGTTAGTGCCTAATACTGACTATATATACAGTAAACAGAGGTGGTATCATATAATGCTAATATAACCTACGTGAGATGAAGGGCTCTCTGACAAATATGGAGGCTAACTGTGACATAAAATTTGAGAGTAGAACTCAGGAGGCAGATAGTGCAAAACAAAATCACAAAATCACAATCTCTGTGCGTGGCACCTGCATGTCCATCTGTGCGAGGTCACATTGTGCATTTCAGATCTGGTCTAATGTGTTTGTGCATATCTATTGTCGTTGCATAATGGGTTATAACATTTTATTCATGGGAGTTTTTGCATAATCCAATTTTACCACATTCACTGTGGTATCGAATTGGAATTAGCAGTTACCTTCAAACTTTGCAATGAATGGGAATGATGTCATAAATGCACATGTGCACACACATTTACCTCCAACTTCCCAAAAGAGACATCTTTTCTGCATGCTGTGACTTGCGAGAGCATGCTTCAAAAGCCTAGAAGGAAGTGGGAACAGACTGACAAGCTAAAAAAACAAAAAAAAACAAAAACAACATACTAATAAACCCGGTGCATCACAATTGTCATACTATAGCTTCAGTGAAAAGTCCCCAGCTCTTAAAGGTCCAGCTATACTCCACTTTCATCTGCACCACCTTCAGGAGCTTTGACCCCAGTCCCATGATCTGAGCAGCTCCTGCAGTTGCTCAGCAGTCTGTCCCAGTGGTAGCCCGTGAAAGTTGGGCTGATGGGGAGGTATTTGAAGAATGAGTGTTTGCGGATAAAGTCCATTCCAAACGGTAGATCATAGGATCTCATTCCCTCCAGCTCTGATGCACTTACACCTGACCCACGCTTCAACTTCCTTATTCCACGCTCTTCAAGGGAACCTAAGACGAGAGGATTTAATCCATCCGGTGGTTATAATAAAACATGTAGCACAATAATATTGTGTGGACGTACAAGAACTCACCAGGAATTGTGTTATCTAAAATAAAAGCTACAGAGCCTCCAACAAACATGGCGGTGGTGAGAAGCACATTTAACACTTGGTCAACTGAAACAATACCTGAAAAAGCAACACAGCAATGCTTCACATGGATCAGCCAGGACCTATTGTCGTCATTGTGGTACTGTGACTCACCAGTAACAAGCGGGTTCTGTTTGAGGTAGCTTGGCAACATGAGGCCAAAAAAGATAGAGAATCCCAGAACAAAGAGGTTTCTGGAGGAGTTGAGGTCCACAAACTGTAGGTTTGACAGTCCCACAGCGGTAATCATCCCAAACAAGGTGCAGAAGAGCGCCCCAAGGACAGGGTCAGGAAGTGAAGCAAAGAGGGCACTAAATTTACCCACAAGACCAAGCAACAGCATCATCCCGGCTCCGTACTGGATCACACGTCTGCTGCCCACCTGAAAGACCAAAGAAATCAAAAGCTGGACATGAAGATAAACCAAAGGTAGATCTAAATCAGCACTACTATTGATTAAAAGATACCATATTATTCAATTTTTTGATCTGTGTTTTTAAAACATACCTGGAGTTGTGTTTTGTTTCATTCACACACAAACAAACAAGTTAGCCGTTAACTTGAAAACTACTACTACATACTACTTCATGACATCACTAGGTGGAACAGAGCATTTTGCACCTTGGACATGTAGTCTAATAATGCACAATTACTCAAACATGTGTGAATGAAACACCACTCCAAGTATGTTTTTGAGTTAAGAGGATTATAACATAACTTGAAGCTCACAAAGTCAATTTTTGCAATATAGGACATTAATTATGTAGACTGAACAAATTATTATTTATTACAATCTAATTAATCATAGAAGGAACTAGACTAGTGGTGCTTCCATGTAACTTTTGGTTGTATCATCTGTTTGCTGAGAGCTCCTTTGGTAGACCTTGGCCTCCCCATGCTACCGTGCCTGTTTTTTTTTTTTTGTTTTTTTGTGTGAAATTTTACATGAAAACAAAAAACATCCCCTCCACACAACCCCCTCACAGAATGAAAAATCGGGATACAGACAACAGTTAATTTATCCAGAGTATCTGACTAGGAGGAGCAGAGGCGTTACAATTTTTCAGAATACATATATATGTATGATAAATTACCCTCCATGTTTGAATATGAAAGTTGGTGGTTGCATGTTTATTTAGTAGCTCTGAAACTATCACAGACCACTGTCCAGGATATATCCAACCTAAGGCCCAATGTTAGGCTCCAACAACTGTCACCCATTAATAAGAATAAATTATAAATATATTATAATAACAGCATAGCATAGAACATTGTAAATAGTGTCTTTAATCATGTATTTTGAAATAACCTTTGTAATGCCCAAGACTCCTATATTTGGGCTTGATGATGTTGAGCCATTTCCTGTCCCGAAAAGTCCATCCAGCACACATGAAAGTCCTTCCATAAAGATGCCTCTGCGGAGTGACATAGAAATACTTTGTAGATTCATATTTCAGAGCTTTTCAGACAGTCACAAACTACTGTTACCTGTTGATTGCATGTATTGGAGGAGGAGGGGCTAACGAAAGGCGGGCACAAGCGTAGTAATCTCCTATTGACTCTATGATGCTGGCGACCACTGCACTCATCATCCCAATCACACCAGCTGCTGTAACTGTCGGAAAGCCCCATTGAACTAGAGAGACAGAGAGACACATGCGAAAAACAATGAGACTTTTGTTGTAACTAAGAAGGAATTCAAGAAGGAATTCAAACTAAATATCTTTTATCATTGTAATCCCAGTGGTCCATAGTATAAAAGGTTAGAGACAACGTTTTTAAGATCAAGGATTCAACTCTCTCATTCTGATTTCTGAAAGTACTGGTCTGAGAAGCTGGATTTAAGGGGAGGAGAGCTAGATAACACTGAAATTTGCTGTGTAGTTGTTTACTTGTATTTTTTTGTTCTCATCTTGGGCTTAGAAACATTCCCCAAATGGCAAAATTAGAAACCCTTGATGTAGGGCTCCAACTGTGGAATTAATAAAATTTAAATTTAAATCAAACACAAAACTAATCAATTTTCAATAATTAAGTTTGGATCTTGGAGTTCACAATGGAGGAGGACTATTTGTTGTGTTGGCACCAAATGAAAATATTTATGGTTCATGTTCATAATACTGAAAGCCATTCAAATGTGTTTTTAAAAGGGAAAAGAGGAAAAAAAAAAAAAAGTCTACCCTACTTTGATACCATAATATCTTATAAATACATATCTCTCCTCATTTTTCCATTGACTTACAAGGATAAGGGATTTTGAACCATGGTGCAGCAGCAAGAATCCCCTGTCGTGCATCTGTGCGAGCATAAAATCCATACTTGTCTTTCTCCGGAGGGAAGACGTCAGTTACAGTAAAGATGAAGCACATAAACCATGACACCAGGATAGCCATGATGATCTGAAAGACATAAAGCATCAAAAACATTGAAGCATCTCAGATATTGTAATGCTTCCTACAGCCAGCAGGTGTAGCCAGTGGCCACTGTATCTGCTGTAATGTACATTACAGCACAGGCCTTAGGCAGTGAGGAGTAACAGACTAAACTCACATAGAATGAATGAAAATGAAAATGTACACTTTTCATACTCACAGGAAACATTTTGAAGACCTGTAGTCTATAAGATGTCCAGCCTTTCTTGGCTTTGTAGACTGGCAAAGGGAAGTGGACGTTTCTCGCATATTGTGAAAATATAAGCACCAAAAAGATAGTCCTGCAGACACAGCGATTAGATTAGTGGAGACAAAATAAATGAACAATTTACACGACCCTGATCTCTGCTGGCCCATCTGTCTGACTGAGACATCAGAGGCTCCAGAGCAATCAATTACTCTAACCAGCCGAGAATAAGCAAATAACAGACAATTACAAGCACAAATCCTGCCCCTGAGGCCACTGTGGAGGTCTGGGACGGAAATGGCCAACAGTCACCGGGTAAACAACAGTGACGCAGCAGGTATCGATGTCATGCCACCTGAGCATCCCAGATCGGATACATCTTTCCTATGAATCACTCCCACTTAACTTAATTGTCTATTTGAGTCACTACAAGGTTTCCATGAATGAAAACTTCCTGGAAGCTCCTCTAAAATATATATATTCAAGTTATAGTTAAGTCAAGTTATCCACTCACAACTTTCCATAGGTTTCAGTTTCCTGTTGTGACATTTTGAGGACTTTCCACCATTCAAAATATATATATAAATGTTTTGTTTTAAATTGGTAATATGCTATGGCAACAGTCTTAAACCTGAGGATATCATAATTGTACTTACAACATAGCAATGCCCCAGTGTTTTCCGGCTCGCTCTCCAGCAGCTTGGAAACCGGACAGTCCAATGAGAGCCACTGTGGGTGTAATGGTCAAAGGTCCAATGTATTTCAGTAAAAGCCCAGGAAGACCCAGAGCTCCGATAAAAACTTCCACCATAGACGACACAATGATGGCTCCCTGGATCTGTTAGATAAATACTTTTGTAAAAATGTACAGGTGGTGTTTGAGCCTATGAGACTAAACAACATTTAAGGTTTGACAAGGATGACAAGTTTAGCATTGAGAAAAAAAGTGTTTTTACTTAAAGGTGCACTTTGTAACTTTTCTGGTGGGGGTCCGTCACCTCTTGTGTCTCCATGGAGATTTTAATGCTTTCGTTTAAATTGTCCACTGTATGGTATTAAAGTAATCTGTCTTGCATTTATTCAACTACATGTTTTATTTATTTCTCAAAAATATCTTAAATATCATATCAAATACCATCTATTCTTACTGTGAGTGGGGTCGCCTCTCTACAAATCTAACGTGTAATTTGGCCTATAAGTCTCCATGGAGATTCATAAATTTATGGCCATACTGTGAAACATTCTCAGCACATCTCCATGAAAACAAGCAGGTGACTGACGCTCCACCAGACAGGTTACACAGTGCACATTTAAGGAATTTTCACGCAAGTAACTTAGTATTTAGTCACAATAATAAGTTTTGAAGCACAATATATTGCGATAAATTTGGGGATAAATGATAATATTGAAACTACTTCATGTTACAGACACAAAGCAGGATAATCCCAGTAAACCAATTTTTTTAAAGTACTGAAGCAAATAAATGATAATTAACCATGGAAATTACAGCTCAATTCTAACCTCATTACATTAAAATGGCAAAAATTTCCCACCTATTTCAAAGAAATTGTACACATGATAAATACTGAGCCTTAAAATGTATTGTTCCAGCTTTTTATATATGAAAAAGATTATATATATGTGTGTATATGTATATATATGTATATACACATACATACATATTAGGGATGGGCATGATTAATCGACAAACCGAATGTAGGTTGCTGTGCGTAGCGTGACCAAACAGGGGTCCGTACATGTGTCTCTCTGCACTCAGAAGGAGCGAGCAAACACAAACATTCGGTCAGTCTGCAGGAAACCGAAGCACAAATGTGTATTTAACGATCATTTGTACAAGAAATTCCACGCTTTCCGTTGCGTTTGGGACAAGTGTGAGTCCATGTGGACAGTGTACAAAGCAGGAACATATGTTTCGGTGTCCAGTGGGAAAAAGCTTTACCAGGTGAGAGTCGCGAGTGTCGATGACGAGTCCCCACCTCCCACCCCCTGTACGGTGTCCTGGTTTTGACAAACGCAAATATGGTCACACTAACCTGTATTCCACAGAATCATGTCTTTTAATCCGACAGAAATTGACCGCATCAGCGACACAAGAGCTGTAGTTTTATCTTCGCTGAGTTTATGCAAATTAGCGATGCGGTTTTATGTTTCGTTTCTGTGAGAGTTGCGCAAAACTGAATCAAACATTATAATCTCTAACGGATTGATGTGTCGTTACGGTTTATATGTCGTAAAGTTGAATTTATTTATGCAGATTAGTAGTGCAGATAGTAATAATAATGATGATCATTTTAATATAAAAACGTTAATGATTAATCAATAATCGATCGTTAATTCTTCCGATGATCGATTAAGAAAATTTCATCGAATGCTCATCCCTAATACATATATATATATATTTTATTAAAGACATTATTGTGACAGACCTAATTGTATTATGACTGCATGTATACCATTTTACCTCTCGTATCCTGGGATGCCAGATGTGCTCTGTGTGGAGAAGTGCTGTACTGTTCATTGATGGGATATCTGATCAAAAGAAAAGAAATCACAAAACGGATTAGTCAAAATCATTCAAAGGGCCCATATTACGCTATTGATGTTAAAAGATTGTTTCCTCATCATTAACATACCTGGAGTTGTGTTTTGTTTCATTCACACGTTTAACACACAAACCTTGTGCATATTTAGGCTTTGCTAGTTTGTCAAACGGAAAACACTCTGTTCCACCTTGTGATGTCATATGGTAATACAGGAAGTGTGTGTTTTTATACTCCATAGACCTTCACTTTAGATAATTTCATTCCTGGAATTACCAATCTCTACTGAACAAAATGTAAAAGGTAGCTGTCAAGATGAAAACTACCACTACCTGACATCACAAGGTGGAACAGAGCATTTTGAGCTTTGCAGATGTAGATAGACAAATAATAAAATAAATAAAAATTCAAACATGTGTGAATAAAAAAAGGCATGTCTTTGAGGAGGTAACAATATCACAACATGGCTTAAAGGTCACAAGAATCCATTTTACATAATATAGGATGTTATATGTGTAGTGTCTGAAAGAGCAGAGGTTTACCTGTTGTGTTACACTTCCACTTGTCCAGGGACAGAATAGCTCGAGCTGGAGCCAGGAAGGCAAACGCACTGGCCTGGAACAAAGGAAGCCTGGGAAACAAAAGTTCATTGTGATTTGTTTTAATACTTGACCCATAAAACAGAAGCCAAGAAACTATTTTCAATGAGCATACGAAATCTTTAACATTGTATAAATGTGATCCAACTGTCACTGCCGACACAAAGACTTATATCTGTATTTGACATGGGCATTTCTCTATATATAGATCTAGTCTGGAAACGCCCCACTCTGTACAACATTCTGTGTTGTCCTCCTTTTGGAAAGCACTAAAATCCACCACAAAGACAAATCTTTGACTCATTTCATTGTCATTCAACGGTTAAAATTTTTCTGCAACACAACCATGTAGTACACAGGGGCAAAACGTCTCTAATGTACACAGAAATATTTGACAAATAATAAAAGAAAATCATCCTTGTTATTATTCCTTTTGTAGAACCTGGACTGTGGTTAACCTGGAAATCCTACAATGATACTGAGTCATGATGGATATGTTACAACACCAGAGTCTTGGATAAAGTGGTCTGATCTTCATGCTCTCACATTACATCAGCTCACTGAGTAAAACACTGAAGCCATTCCGTGCATACAAGAAGGAAAAGCCAAGTCAAAAGGACTATGTTTGATAATCACGGTTTGGTAACCAACCGCACAAGTTGGGTAAGTCAAGAGAACGCTAATAACATTACACAAAGCAGTTGACGTTGTTTAGACATGTAACTGAAGCTAAGGGTGAAGTCATAAAGTCTCTGCCGTATAAAATAATCTTAAATAACAAAGTATATATAGACTGAAGTATATATAGCAAATAAACGGTAATATTGCAACTAATTTATGCCACTGACATAATTTGTGCTTAAACTGAAGTACCATTCTTTGGGCACTTTAATGAAACAAGAGGAACTGAGAGAGGCCCTTGAGAGTGAAGAGGAAAAAAGACCAACAGACAAAGCACTAGGCCTGTCATGATAACACCTTATCCTGCTGCAGAGAAATATCACGATAAACAATAATCCCAGACTGTAAACCCTTTTTAAATAAACAGTCTAAAAACAAATAAAGAGCAGAATTAACCAATATTTTGTCACATAATGTACTTATTCAGTCCTCTGCAGCTCAAATCATATTATATTAAAACTAAAAATTCTCCCCAGAAATTGTATAATAAAATAGAGACCCAGAATATATTAATTCAACTACCCTACAATGAGCAGTAAGTTAATATAGTAATTAGTGTGACAGACCTACAATGCACAGAGGTGTTTGAGTTCGCACCTGCACCCAAGGGTGGTTTGCAACAGGGTGGTGATGCCCACACAAAAGAAGATGGTCCCGATGAGTTGGCTGGTAGCCCACTGGTCGTACCCCACACACATTGCCTCAGCCAAAAGGAACGGGACGGCAATGGTTCCACTGAAACAGGTCAAGTAGTGCTGAAAAAGACACAAATATGGCACATCTATTGGCACTGTGAATAAATTAAAGATATATATATATATATATATATATAGATTAAAGGTCCCATATTACACAAATAATTTTGTCCTGTGACTTTCAAGCCACATTTTAATGTTGTTACCTCATCGAAAACATACTGGAAGTTGGGTTTTGTTTCATTTACACGTCTGAGTAATCCTGCATTATTAGTAAATCTACAGCTCCAAAGCTCAAGATGCTCTGTTCCACCTTGTGATGTCATGAAACAGTAGTTTTCAAGTTAGCAGCTACCTTTTACCTTTTGTTCAGTAGAGATTGGGAATTCTAAAGCTATAATTATCCAAATGATTCTAGTGAAGGTGTATGGAGTGGAGCACTTCCTGTACTTACTACATGACATCACAAAGTGGAACAGTGTGTTTTCAGTTTGAGAGAAAACCTTAGCTTAAATATACAGAGTTTGTGTGTTAGATATGTATGAATTAAACAAAATCCAACCTTCAGGTATGTTTTTGATGAGAAAACAACGTTATAACAGATCAGAAAACTGTATAATATGGGCCCTTTAAAAACAATGAGATGACTTACTTGCATGCCCAGGAACACACACAAATACCAGGGAGGAGTATCTTCGATGGTGTAGATCATATCCATCTTTCTAGCATCAAGACTTTCTGCACTGTCCAAGGTTTCAGACATAGAGCTCTAAACACAAAAAGCATTTCTCAGATTATTTCTTCGTACAACTGTGCAGTCCTCTTTGGATACATTTTCAATATTTGACTTTTAAGTTATAAAGAATATCTGTGTAGTAATTTTCTTTTACTAACTTTAGCACATTTATCAATTTAAAACTGACATTTGCAAAACATCCTATACAGACTTTTAGTTTTCCTTAAGAAAATCTTACCTCAGCAAAATTCAAAACTGATCAATCATCTCTCACAAGCAAGTTTTACCATCAGAGCTCTCAAACTCTCATCATGTGTTTTTCTATGCTCTTTCACCTTCTCTCAGTAACAAGTTACAAAGATGCATTTTGGACTAGAAAAGCTTTGCTTTATGTCTAAAACATGTCTGTATGTACATTATAAATGTATACATTGCCAACTGCAAAGAAGATTTTGCATATTTGATCCAAAATATTTATGCTGAAGAAAACAAAGTTGTTGGAGTAGAAAATATTAAGTACTGCTTTTGTATGTGTTCTTGAAAATCAAACAGGACAATTATACATCTCACTGTATGTAGTCTATGTAGTCTCTAGTTTCTTACTGTTTGATATGTGAAATGCTTTGTTGATACAGTTTAGGGGCTAACAATTATTTACTTTTTGCTGTCATATTTGAGTTTTTATAAAATGTATCAAGGTCTACCATGTGTGAACAGACCTTTAGAACTGAAAAAACAAGTTGAATTCAATGCTCACGGATGTGTGCGAATGAGAGCTGTGTCAAGTGTTCTGAGAAAGAGCCGGAGAACTGTGTGAAATGATGAAGAAATGTTCCAAATGATTTGAACACTTGGCCCCTTTTCAAATACATGTTTGAATAAAATGATCAAACTAAGCCAAGTTTAAAAATGTGCTAAAACAATTGAAAAAAAAAAGTAAAAGAAGTAGTAGTAGAGAAATGGTAGACAATAGGACAGAGGGATGGTTTTGGTGAGAATGGCTGTGTCAGGATGACTATGCAAAATTCAATTGGGAAAGACAAAACTAGTAAAGTAATTCACAAATACAGAAGTTTTATTTGTGTAAGTTTGATTCATTATGTGGAGAGGGATGTGGCTGATAAAACAATGATGGAGAAAATATGTAGTGTAAAAAGATTCATTTTCATTCAGTTTCAATCTTGTGGGAACACATGAGGTGTCACACTTTCAGCACTTTCTAGTTTATTTTGGCCTTGAGAGTGACTTTCTGATAGGCAGAAAGGGGGAAGTGAAATTTAGTAAACAATACTGAGTAAGCAATACATGTATTGCAGTACTTTGACACAATTTTAAAACTTGCTGTCAGCTAAAACAATTCATTTAAAACGATTTTAGGTTACCTTTTCCACTGCATGATCCTCTTTGGTGTAGATGGCCATGAGTTCAGTGTTTTCGGTATCCTGGTCTGGGCAGGCCGCGCCCACCCCATTCACCACCACCTGCACTCACACAAAGTCAGAAAAGTGAAGATTACATTACACAATTTTAGCAGTTAGCAAGAATCACCAAACAAATATGTGAGAGAATAAATATGCAACCGTGCAACAAGGCTTGGCACACAACACCTGAGACAGGTCATAGTCCTTCTATGTGATGCACTTTATTGTATTACCAAATTTAAATATGAAACAGCTAAGCAGGAAGGTTTTAGCATATCTTAAGTGTCATGTAATCAATGGTAAATCATTTAAGGTTTTATACCTAAGGGTACAATTAAATATTTTGTCTTGAAACAAAACAGAATATTACTGGTCATAAATTCAGAATTTAAATGCGAAAACTGTAGTTTTGTCATTAATTTGGTGACACTGTCTGTAGTGTGCTAACAGGGCTCACCACGCATCAGCATTTTATTAAAACAAAAATAATTTTCTTCTATACCATTTTTATCTGGGGTTTGATATAATATGTTTTATAAAGTTTTATGAAGTGAGACCCCCAGAGCCCCCATGCAGGTGTCAGGAGACAACTCAGACTGAACAAATTTGGGTTTACCAGCTGAAAACAGTGTTAGTTTTGTGGAAGAGATACACAAAAAAGCTATTACAAAGCCATCAAGCTGCATGAATCACTGGGCCTTTGCCAAGCGGATGTGACCAAAGACTATGAGTTATCCAAGCACCAGGGCAGTTGTATTGATAAAAGTAGCTACACTGAAATATAACAGTTGCTATAAGCAGTATGCCAAGTGTTACGCACTGGAATGGGGTAAAAGTCTGCTCCATGTTTGCTCTCATCTTCGTATTTGGCCGTCTCACTGCTGCTGTCCATCTTGGGGGTGTTGTTCTTTCCCACTCCCATTCTGGGACTCTCTGGGCAGTGGTCCGGTCTGTGGGGCCCTCCTGGATCAGGCTCTGGTGTGAAAACTCGTGCAGACTGGCTCAGCCGCTTAACATCCTTCGGGACAGATCCGTCAGCTGCAGAAAAGCAGAGATGTCCAGACAGATTACAGTCTGTTTTATTGCACAGCAAGTGACCTCATATCCTGGCCTTTTTGTGATGCTCTGATCACATAAGATTACAGACTGTTCCTTTATTAAATCCAAGATTATACGTCTTTTACATGTAAAAATAGACGGTCTTTACAATACATAAGACATACTTGTAAATGCTGTGTACAATGTCTATCTTAATCCTAAACATAGACATGACCTGCTTTTGTTAGGTTCTACATTTCTTTATTTTTCCCATTTTAAACTACTTTTGGGGACCTTAATACTCTTAAATATAAACATACACCTAAAAATAATGTATATGTATGGGAAATAGTGCTGTTACTGCCAGGAAATAATACAATGACTTAAGACTCAAAATAAGCATGGAAGACTGCATTCAACTGAAGTTAACAATAGTGCTTTGGATCAAAGTTGGTTAGCCATTTAGTGAAGGCATGTCTATGACAAAGTGTGGGTAAACACAGCAGGTCATTTCTTGGATTACCACCTGATGACATCATGCAGTCTCTGAAACAGTAAATCTAAGGCATTCTGCACTCTGCAGAAAGATGTAAAGAGCCCACCACCAGAATATATATTAAAATAAAAGAAGAATGGGAACAATGTGACAAGTAGAATAGCATGAAGCTGTTTAGGGAAAAAGCTGACCCTCATGTTAAAGTTTTTGTTTCAAATTGAGCAGTGAGCACCATGTGCTTTCAGTTTAAACAAACTATTAAACTAAGTATGTTGAATAATAATGTCAAAGAGAACCGATGTTATTTTTTTACATTTTAGGCATAAAATAACATCCATTACCTCATGTAATGTGTTCAAACATAAGTGTTCAAACAGAGCCTCGTGGTCCTGTACAGTTGTCCAAATGAGAGCCTGAATAAAAATGGGTTTAAGCGTTCGATAATAGCAGATAATGTAGCCGCCTATCTAAAAGCTGGCTGTTGATCACTTGTTTGTTGCACAATGTTCACCAGGTTTGTGCTTTGTGTCTTTTCATCTAGTTATAAGATGTTGGGACAGGTGTTATACCTAATGGACACATCCCATCACTCCTGTCCAGCTGCACGGCTGGGAGCATCTGTGTAAAAGGGGCAACAGAGAGGGAATGGAGGAAGTAGGAGAGGAGGAAGATAGAGGGATAAGGAGGGAGTGAGACATCAGTTAATTTGACAAACAGCAGCCAACAACCAGAGCCTTTAGTTTTGATTCTGCTCTACAACGCACTCTTCACTGTTGGACAAGGGTGGACTGGAAGATGTAGTACAAGCTCTTTAAGGCATCTTTGTAATATGAAAGTGATGGACTATGGATTACAACACATTGCACAAGAGTGAAACACCATGGCAAATGCAAAACACATGACATTTATTCTGAAGTTGTGGAAATAGGGAAATAAAATACACAAACACAGTTACGGCTGAACAACAATTACAAATGCACATTTTAAATACCCAACCAACCCATGTTCTTCACAGTCAGTTTAAGTTGATGCCATCAGGCAGAAGGTTCAGGGTCCCAAACTGTAAACTGAACAGATTCAAATATTCTTTTGTTCCATTAGCTGTTAATCTGCTAAACTCAAATTCTGCTAAATCTGCTAAAGATAGTTCAGTTAAAAAATACATGTAAAAGGCTATGTGCAATCAAAATTGCACATAGGTCAAGGGAATGTGCAATCAAAACTGCACACAGGCTTAGGGAATGTGCAGTTATTCACAGAATACAAGAATGCAGTGGGCTTGCCTGTAAAGAATGATTTAAAGGTCCGGTTGGTGAATCACTCGTGGTCATACTTGGTTTCGTATTTATTTTGTCCTATGGTGGATGTTTATGTGGTGCTTTGTGTTGGGTTGTCCTGTTTTTTGATAAAGTATGTTATCCCCTGTCCCAAGACAAATTTCTCCCATGGGAGACAATAAAGGATTATCTTATATGTCACCAACCATTAAAAGAACAGAACATTATGTACTGCTAACAAACCTAAACAAACAAACAATAAACACAATTTTGGACACGTTTGTTGAGGTTCATACAACCAAAAGTGAGTCAACAGATTTTTTTATGACATAATACAAAATATTTGATTGTACTTATTAAATAATTGCACCCTCTGCAAATACAGCAATTCAAATTTTGATCTGTTTGCGATTAATCTTGCAGCTAAAAACAACACAAACACTCAAAACACTGAGAAAACACAAGGTAAACAGCTGAACTGAAGTCAAATTGTTTGGCAGGAAGTTCAGGATAAGACACACATGTAGCTCGGCACATGTGAGCAGGTCAGATATTACAGAGAGAGAGACTGGTCTCTCACAAGGTCACGTTTACATAAAGCCAACTTCCTGACACTGGAGCAGAGGCGATGATAGTGCTAGGAGATATAATGAAAAATGCATATCACCATTGTTGTTTTGGAGATTTAAAATTAAAAATGTATACAGTACAGAGTATAGAGTACACTCTATGATAACACTCAATAACACCCACTCCTACATGATGGTGGGTCAGAGGACCCCAGTTTATGAAACATTTTATGATTGGGAAAAAATACATTTTGATTATATATGAAACATGATCATCTCTTATATATTAGCTTTCTTATCTATCTTAAGGGAAAAAATTTACTGTAACAGAGGACGAGGTATAAATTTAACTTAAAGGAGACATACTGTGCACATTATTTTAAGGGCTTTTAATCATGTTGTAAATGTTTTCCCCTCTCATTTATCTACTGGAATTGATTTAGGCATGTTTGAGTATTCTTTATTCTCCTAATAATTTCCCTTGGTCAGCAAAATCTTGCTTGTTGCTCAGAAAAAAAAACTGATTACCTCTACCACATGTACACGCTCACTGTTGTTTACCTTTTTCTTAGATTTTTGACACACGTAGTATAAGCCTACATTGCAGCTGCATTGTCATCTTGGCACTAAGGAAGAAATTGTCCACAGGCAGGCCTGATGGCATGGCCGGGCATTGCAGCCCCATAAAGAAGCAAGGTGGAAATCAACACTACAGTTTTCAACTGTAAGTAAGTAGACTTGTATCTTTTATTTTGCTGCTTTAGATCAAAATCGCAATTTAAAATGTAAAAAAACCACACTGTAAAGTAATGAGAGTATAATTAAAAGGGTCCATATTATGCACAATTCTGATTCTCATGTTTTCTGATCAAAAATATATCTGGGAGTTGTGTTTTGTTGTGTCACACACATTTAACACACAAATCTTGTATGCATATATATATATATATATATATTTTTTTGTTTTCCTTCCGTGAAACTGAAAATACGGTAATACAGGAAGTGCTCCACAGTGTTTTTAAACTCCAAAGACCTTCACTATAATCATTTGGATAATATCAGCTCTGGAATTGCCAATCTCTGCTGAACAAAAGGTAAAAGGTAGCTGTTAATACGAAAACTACCTTTTCGTGATATCACAAGGTTGAACAGAGTATCTTGAGCTTTGGCAATGCAGACAAACTAATAATAAAGGATTTCTCAAACATGTGTGAATGAAACAAAACACAACTCCAGGTATGTTTTGGGGAGGCAAAAGCATTATAACATGGCTGAAAGCTCACAAGAATACATTCTGAGTAATATAGGACCTTTAAGTATTATTTATGCATGTTTGTGATTAATTTTACAATCTGCTCTCTTTCCTATGGCACTTTAGCCTCCACCAAGGCACTTCAAGGATATGGTCATTGGGTTAATACAAATAAAAATCAAATCAGTATTATTTTTGGCAATATGGTCGGCCCCTACTTGCATTCAATACAACTCCTTAGGGACACAGCCAAATAATTAGTTATATTATATTTTAAACACCAAATGAATAGTAGTATGAATTTATATATGTTTAAAAAGTAGGATTCAATACCAGGGGCATTAATGTTTGAGAGAAGACTAAAATACAAACTGCTAATCTTTTGCAAGAATTAATTCATTTCAGAACAGTTTTGTAGAGGTACCGGTACAAGAACAACAAGATAAACAAGATAACATTCTATAAAAAGGCAGGGTCTTTTGTTCTTTGCAGAGAGCATTCTATTCTTCACATAACTGCAGTCAGATTTGATAATTTAACTGATTCACATTGCAATTTCGATTCTATTTCGATGTATTGCACCCCTAAGTATTAAAGCCTTGTTTATATATCATGAATGACTGAATGATTACACAGCCATTTTCTCATTTATTTTAAGGGGCACAGCAAAGTCTTTTCATAACCTTACAAACTAAATCAACACAAAGTGGTTTCAGGCTCTTGGCAGGTGGACTGGAACAGAGGCAGGGTAAGCAGACCAAAATAGCTGAGAAAAAGAGCTTGTCTTCCTTTAACCCATCCCTACTCTACTGAGACACCCACACAGCATGGTATCAGCATCACACAACAAGCTCCGAAGGTTAGATAGGGGGAAGAACAAATTTACGGAGACAAACTTGGCCTTTACTCATGCATTATCTCTCAGTTGTTGATCAGTCATGCTGCCACCCACCACTGTGGGCTTTTTCCAACAGGCCCTGCTGCTGCCACAACTAACACTGAGGTATCATTGTAGCTGGAGGTTCAGAAAATCCTTTAAGCCTATCAGAGCCAGACTCCCGCTGCTGCTCAATGTGGGGTAACTGGTCTCATAATAACGTGTACAGTAACACAAAGCTGCAGACAGTAGGTTAGCACAAAGGCATCTGATTAACTATTAACAGCAGATATCTATACTAAAATATTATAATAATCACTGTAATGATACAACAAATACTACAATTATCTGTGCATGTGGCTGCCATCATGAGATTAAATATGCATGCATAAATTAATTATTTTCTTTGCAAACAGAGGCACACTGTTCTGAGAGTTTGGTAAAACTCCTTACAAATTAAAGCCATTTGTCATGAAAAGAACCCTGAACCTCCACAGACCTCTCTTTATTGCATTTATAATAGAAAATGGCTCTACTGATCCATTGATCCATTTAGGGCACATATGTCATTTCTGAGGGTAAATTGCATTTTTTAAATTTTCGAACAGACTGCTGTTTGCCCCTTAACACAGATAGACAAATATAACTAACCATAAAACAAACTAACTGTTGAAACTACAGCATATCAAACAAAGATTTATTTTTAGCCCTTCCATTGATCACATAACAGAAGCCAATGACTGATTTGTGAAGAATATTGGCCAGCATATACAGCCTCTGGCCATGTAATAAAGCAGGGCTAAGTCTGACTGATGTAAGAAAGATTGTGTGTGAAGTTTTCATGTGTCTGGCAAAAAACACTTTTAAGAGCATGTTAAATCCGTGTTCAGCACATGTACATAATACAGTACAAAGGCTCGACATGACCCGACAGCACTACAGTGTAATCTTAGTCACATGCTGCCTACATCAAACAGGACAGGAATCTGTCTGTGCCACAGAGAACCAGACCCTGGTCCAGACCTGCTGGGAAACTCTTCACTGGAGTGTTTAATAAATATTTAATTAAGTGATTATTTTCCTGACAAACAATAAGGACACCTGTATAAGCGTTGGTGTTCACATGTCACATAGGGAAAATGCAAATTACCAGGTCAGACACTTTACATTTGCTGATCACTGACTAGTAAGAAAAAAAAAAACTTATTTAAATGTGGCATGTGAGTTTAGTTTAGTAAAGACATTTCAATGTAAGCCACAGCTCACATTTTGTGGCATAAAGTAAAGAACAAATTCACAATGAGTAAGCTACAAAAAGCTATTTTCAGAGGGCACATGAACAGAGCGCCACACCGCGCCACACTCGCTGAGATTGTACTTGATGTAAATTATATTAGTTACAGTGTAGGGTTAGGGTTAGGGTTAGCCTTAGTGACATCAGGCCTACAGTAAACAATGAAAACTCCCTCGTTATCTCACAAGTTTCACTCGTGCGAATTAAAAGCAGTTATATGCCAAAATGTGTCTTTAATTTACACGGTTCAAGTTTTTTGGGGTCAACCATCACGAATCTGCTCTGTGGATGTAACAGCGTGCATCTTTGTGAGGCGGACCTGGCTGCCCACGCTGAAGGCACACGGGCAGCTTTAAGGGCGCTAGATAGACTCCACACAGGTACATAAGTAGACGTTTGTGAGTGGGAATGGTAAATAAATATGTTTTCTCTCACCTGTCTGATGTAAGAGAAGATCAAGCCCGCTTCCCCCTCGGCTAGCGCTTCGTCCGCTGGTTTGTCCCCGTGGCTGTGACTGCTCTTATACCGAAGCGGAGACAGGCAGGTCCCTTAACACGCCGAAGACACAAAATCCAACAAAGACCAGCTTTAACCGTACGTCCTCCGTCCCTTTCCTGCTAACATGTGCTTAGGCTTCAAACAGGCTTATCTCACAACTATGGAGGGATTCAACCCTTTCATAAAGCCTCGGGGGTTGTCTTGTCTATGGATGGGGTTGACGTCCTCATCACGCATGCGCACTTGGTTCTCTGACGTAAACGCAGATCTGTGGCCCCGCCCCGAGTGCAGCGCCAACCAATCAGAAGCTTTGTAAAGATGACACACACACCCATACATTGAGTCTGTGACCTGTGCGCACACATTTTATTTAACGGAAGAAACACCTTGAGTAAGACAAATTATTTTACACAAGTGTGTGCAAATATTGTCTTTATTCTATTATGTAATGGTTATTTTCACTGACTACCGCAATGTCTCCATTTTCACAGTGCCACCCGATGTCTGTTTGTGTGCACTGCAACTTTGTCCTACTTTTCATAAGACAGTTGCGCAATTACAGAGCTGGAATTTTATTTATGAATGTTTTTGGATACTATTCCTTTGCTTTTTTCAAGACTTTGGTGTCCAAGAAAAACTTGACCCAGAAAACGTCTTCCTCTTGACCACATTCCTCACAAAGTTATTTCTTTATAACATACAATAAAATAATAACTTGTAATGAAAAGGATATAAACTGAACATAAACTTATATGGGGCTTGAACGGTTCCCATCAGCAACTCACACATCATCACAAATAAAGTTTATTCAGTTTTGTACAGTGAAGGATTGAACATAGAAGTCACACGTTTTCATACATTGACTTCACAGCATTTTGTGTTCAGGCCATGACGTAAGTCCAATTACTGTATTGTACATTATACTGTGGCACTTAAAAGTGAGCATGCTCAATATCTAAAAATCAAAGTTTAGATTACTTTAATCAGCATATACAAACATTAACAGTCTGTTTTTCTTTAAAATAAGAGCAAGTTTGGATTATACTTTTTAAGCAAATGATCAACTTAATTTCTGTTCTCTTAAAGGAATCAATAAATATTTTTAGGGAAAATGGCCCAGACAGTGCAGCACAGATGGGGCATGTGTTATTAATTATACATATATACAGAACAGTTATCTACAGTGCCTATATGGCGTATTATACATACAGTTTCAGTGCAAGCAATTCACGTCACATTTTGTTGACAAACATGCTTATTTTTGTGCCAGTTCCATTTTAACTTATTTATTTCTAACCCAAAGTTTCATTATCCCCATGCTCAGATCCAGTGATTATATTGATATGTTAGTACAAGGGAGAATAGAAGTCTGTGTGAAGCTAGTGTAAGAGAAATGTGTGAAAGATTATATAGTTGTGAGTCTTTGTGATCCAAGGACATGGACGTTAATGATAACTTTTCCCCTCATAAATTTTGGTTGTTATCAGAGAACAAAAGATATATAGAACAAAAACACAGGACATACTCTTCAGGAAGCTCTTATTTTGTTACTAGTGGTCTTTAGAATCCATAGCAGCTATAGTGGGGCATCTTAAGTATTGTGCCTGTAGATTTGGTGTATGTGTGCGTAGTTTGTAGGTAGATTGTTGAGTTGTCCCTCATATCACATTTTCAAACAACTGCATGGAGCTCATTATATTTTCATCCTGTAAAGAAGAACAGAATAACAATATAAAAAGTAAGGCTATATCTTTATCTAGTAATATCTATATCTCAACAAACTTCGAGTTATTATAAAGAGGGCAGGTAAAATCACTGTGTTATTAACAAGTATTATCTAACCTCAGGACCTTTAATGTTATATAAATTATAAGTATTATTTTAATGTTTTAATATCACATAACTCCAATGTGTGTATTAAAGTATGGCAACTGTCATAATATACATTTATTGTTTAGATAAGTCCAACATTTGTGAAATTTCCTCATGAATATTTCTTATGATAATGCTTTGTAGTGTACTGTAATGGGCAATTGGCTCTTCATTTTCTAGAATCTAAAAAAAAAAACACCAATAATGTATTCAAATATTCTCAGACCTACCATCAGAAACAGTTACCAGTATAGTCATTGATCATTATTTTAGGTTTAGAAAATCTTAATAGAATTTAAACAACTTCTGCCAGCTGTGTAGTAAAGTCACCTTCTGACAAGTTTCAATGAATTCTTCAATTGTCACAACACCGTCACGATTTCGATCCATTTTCTACAGAAATAATACACAAAGTACAGTTAGGATCAGTGAATATAGTTCAGAAAAGTGTGTTAAGCTTTGTACTACAAAAAGAGTGAAAAACCTGGAAGAACTTGTCCACATGCTCTGAAGGAGCATCGTCCCGCACACAGGGGTAAGTGTATCGTCCCATCATGTCATAGATGGATTTCATAATTGCTAACATTTCCTAATGACAGAGTAAAATGTTACCAATGTTACATCCAGTATAGTAGGGTTCTCTTTTTTTATGTCAGTAGTCAAACAATGATATCTTATAAAACATTTTTCATAACAATTAAAATAAAAATGTGACTTGAGGCCTGCATACAACATTTTTTCAACTAAATTTATTGTCTTCTTATGCGATTTGATTTTTATCAAGGGACTTTGTTATAGAACGTGTTCATGGCAAAAGTCCATTTATAGTGCAGATAAAGATGAACAATTATTAAACGTGCTCTTGGTTATTTTAATAGCTGTTTTGTCATGTGTTAGTTATAGCAAGCCTACAAAACACTTTATCTTACAAATAAAAGCATTCAACTAAAACAAACAACAAATTCCTTCTACAACTTTAATATATAGTTTTTTTATCAGTAAAAATAGAGATTGCGATGTTCTTCCAGTTGTACATTTCAGTGTAACCATTTACTGTGGGGGATGTAATGAATAACAGCATGTACCTCTTTGGTGATGTATCCGTCTTTATTGATGTCATAGAGGTTGAATGCCCAGTTAAGTTTTTCTGTGACGGACCCTCGGAGCAACACGGACAAACCAATGACAAAGTCCTCAAAGCGAATGGAGCCATTACGGTTGATGTCAAATGCATTGAAGAGGAAATGAGCATAGGTTGTTGCATCTGTGCCATCAGGGAACAAGAACAGTTAGAAGGATTTTCCCAACAAATATTATTATTGTATTGTATGGTCTAACCTCCTTGAGGAAAGAACTGAGCATAAATGGACTTGAATGTTTCCTCATCAACCAATCCACTTGGGCACTCCTGAAGAGACAAAACAGAAGGACTTGACAACAACTTTATTTCTTCCTGGCCACTATAGTTAAGCGCTTTCAAAGGGGGCAATTATTTCAACTGAATTAGACATAATTATATTATTTGTAAAAATAAATAAATAAATAAAAAAAACACACACACACATTGTAGGAGAAATTAATTATTATACATATAAAGGTGCACCTGCTGCTCTTGCATTTATTCAGTACAATTGTTCATGGTTAGGTAACAATTTAAAAATATGAATTGTTACTGTGAGCAGGGCTGCCTCTACACTGACGTGACAAGGAACTTGTCCTGGTAGTTTCACTGGTTTGTCTCCACGGAGATACGATACATTAAATGGCATACTGTGCAGCATTCCAGGCAATGCATCTGCATTGTAAAGTGCACCTTTAAATTTGAGTCTCCTTCTGTTGACTTGATTGTGTCTTAATAAGGAACAGAAAAAATTCAGTCTTTAAGTCAGTATACGTTTAGAAACTGTATTTTGTCTTTTTTTCCCCCGAACTTTCTACTGTATTTTCTTCTAATCAAAAGCTAAATAGCTAATTAACCTGACGTGTTTTGGCGGTAGGACTCCTGTCTTCATCAGAGGTGTCTGACTAGTGTGACGTTTATTTTATCAGTTGTTGTTCTCATACGTGGTTAGAGCCAAGGTAAACGTCCCCTCGTCTCTGCTGATGGTCTGTGTGCCTCACTTCCTGATTTAATAGCCACTCATATCCATATTTTGTACTTGGACCAGTACAAGTACAAAAGATGGATACAAGAGGCTATTGAAATCAGGAAGCTGGGCACATGGACCATCAACAGACGAGGGGGTGTTTTTCTTGGCTCACATGTGGGACCACCACGCGACGGCAGGCATGGTCAGTCTGATAGATCTGCCAGATCCGTCAAACTAACCATGTCTGGGAACAACAGCTGATAAGAGCACAGCAGTCAGAGACCTCTAAAGAAGGTGGAAATCCGACCGTCAAAACATGTTAGGTCAATAAGACATTACGCTTTTTTCGTATCTCTTATTTGAAAGAAAACACACAAGTCAGTATATGTGGTTTACAGTGGTTAGATTGAATGTGAGTAGCTAAAATCCATTTGATTTGTTTTGATGTCAGGTTCACTAGCTACATGTTAAAAATATATAATATTAATAAATTAATAAATAAAATTATGTAAAGGTGACTTAACTCAAATGTTTTTTGTAAACTTCTCATCTCTCATGATAAAAGAAATAGTTCAGATAACATTGGATAGTCCAACATTATGACACTGTTGTTCGTCTTTTACGTCTTATAAATGAAATACATCTGAAGTAAATGGAGACATACATTTTTGAAACCCCGGTATAGAGACTGGAGCTCCTTCCTGGTGAATTTAGTTTGAGCTTGCAGTTGGTCCAGTCCCTCTGGTTGGTGACGCACTGTGGAGAGCTCCAGATCACTGTCACTGCTGTCTGTGAGGGCAAAGAAAGGAGGATAGAGAGAGAGAAAGAAGGAATAATAGATAGACAAACAGAGGAAAGGAGCAAGAAAGAAAGAGAGAGAATGATGTAAAGAGAGGAAATGAATTGATAACAGGGAAGCGTGCAGTTGACACAAAGTGAATGCAGGCTGACATTCAGGAAAGGGAATGGCATTACACATTTAACAGACAGGCACGACTCAGGACAACGTGCGAATAAAGGAGACCTATAGGATCAAACTTCAGAGATGAATGCAGGTAAATGGTAGGGCTGCAACTAATGAACATTTTAATAGTCAGTCATTAAATATTACATTTTTGATTAGTCGACTAGGTAAATTATTATTTCTATAGTACATATTTTATAAAGGTAGATATGGTGACTGAACGCTTGTAGATATTTACAAATAAAGTGTATTATTGATGAAATTCGGAAATTGTTTATTCTTTTTTTTTTTTTGCTTTTTATTCAAAGATCTTATATTACACAAAATTAACTGTTGTGACCTTTAAGCCATGTTAGAATGTTGTTGCCTCATCAAAAACATACCTGAAGTAGTGTTTTGTTTCATTCACACGTTTGAGTTATCCCGCATTATTAGGCTGTCCACATCTCCAAAGCACAAAATGCATGAAGAAGTAGTTTTCAAGTTAACAGCAACTTTTTACCTTTAGTTCAGTAGAGACTGGCCATTCCAGGCTGAAATCATCGAAATTATTCTATTAAAGTTCTACTAAAGAGGAGTTTAAATACTCATTGGAGCACATCCTGTATTATCACTTGACATCACATGGTGGAAAAGAGCCTAAATATGCACAGGGTTTGTGTGCTAAACATGTGTGAATGAAACAAAGCACAACTCCATAATATGGGCTCTTTAATGATGCAACTGTCTTTTCAAATGTCTTTAAGAGCCTGTTTAGTCCAGATAACGATTATAATGTCAAAACACAACTACTTATTTTTTATAGTCGACTAGCCAGGATTAGTCAATTAATCATTGCAGCCCTAGTAAAAAGGACACTGGAAAACAAGAGGTACTTTCTTTATGGCGGAAACATCTTCAAGCAGGTTTTTTAAAGGTTATGTCCGCCACAGTAGTAAAAATCTGTCGGGGCACTGGTATTTGTCAGTTCACACAGAGAAAGCACTGCAAGTCTGGGAGAAAAGAAGACATTCCAAAAGGAGGAGGGACTTTCTCAGAACAGGCCAAAGTACTCACCATCTTTAAACAGAAAGAACAGAGGAGGGGAGTTGACACCGAGATGGGGTGATAGATGGAGAATAAGGGTAGAGAGATAGTAAGAGAAAGAAAAACGACAAAAGAAAACAGGTCAGCTCGGACATTTTCAGGGGGCACATAAGATGAAGCGGTCTGAGAAGTTCACAAGGAAAATCTATGCCAGGAGAACAGTCAGTGTCCAACTGAGCAGTGCAACTTAATACACTGGGAACTATAGAAAACCATTTGGGAAAATTTCCAAAGGCAGGTGTTCTGACTAATGTTTTAAAATAAAATTTGTTCAACTATGGGAATTTCCTACATTTCAGAATATAATACTGTAAATGTATACGATTCAATTTTAGCAGATTTCTTTTTACTAAATAAGATGGCATTGTTTGTTGTTACAGAGGATTTGAAGATAAGCAAACTTTTATTTGTCCCACAATGGAAAACAATAAAAATAGGCTCTCAAATATTAAGGTACAAAATAAAAAAAAATACAAAAATTAATATACTGATTTAACTGGAAAATTAAGATATGCTTCAAAATAAATGTAATTATTAATGAAAAAACTATTCAAATTATGATTTTGTTTAGAGCCTGCAGCAGCACTTAATTCGATCCCCTTTTGGGAACAGGCATTCTCCTTTCTCTTCAATTTTTGGGTTAAGGATCCGGGAAGCTCCAGTAACTATTGATTTACAAAATAAGCCTTGGCAGTACAATTCAAAGTGCTAAAGATGTACTTTCCTACGGTGCAGCATTTCCTCAAGAATTGCATATAAACAGATGAACTTAATTGATTAGTGAGCTTGAAATAGTAAGAATGAATATGTCTGCTTCATGTAATAAGGCAATCATTTATAATATTCAAACCATGTTATAGATTTGGAGTTTCAAGACTAGACAAGATCTCACAAATAAGTATACCTGTCACGCGAACATAATTTGAAGTTCGTTATATAAGTAAGTATATAAGTTCGTTATATAAGTATAAGTAAATATAGACAATAAGATCTTGTTAAATATTGTTGAGCTGTATAAACAAATATTTAGTTACAGCTCAAATCTGTTCATATTGCCAAAAATAAATAAATAAATAAAAATCCCCACTAGTACAAAGAAGTACCCTTGATAAATATTGACCCCCAAAAATAGTTCGAGCCAATATAGTGATTATCGTCACAGGCCTACAAATAAGGCTAAAGTTAAGTAAAAACAACCACCTTAATTCTGACAGTGTTAAGACATTATTTCAATTACGTTTTGGCCTGCGTCTTCTTGATCAGAATGGAGGTCTCACCAGTCTCTGTAATGTCGATGAGGCCCAGGAGGTGCATCAGTTTGAGGAACATAATCACCAAACATACAATGCCCACTGTCTGCAGCCCCTCCGTCTCCCATCGCACGCTCATCCTCCACTGAGCCTCTTCCGGGCTCTCGTCTGAAGTCCTGAGATCCAGCCCTACACTTTTTCCATTACCGCTACTATAAAAAATACAATATCACTTCTTCACTGTCATTTCGGACCCTTCTCTTTGTCATACTCTGTCAAACTATGTCACTTTTCTTGCAATATTTCTGTTACAATCTTGACTCCCACCCCCTGCCATAGTAATTAATTGCCTTTTTCCCACTGGAGCATGTCAGACTTGACAGACAGATGGTAAAAAAAATCTTATTTTCAGTTATTGAAGGGGTGATTTAGTGTTATGTGTCAGGTTTTACATGTGAATATCTGTTACCCAGATTTCTTGTTATTTTTGCACACATGCAAAATACAACATGCTTGCTCTTATCAAAAATAGTCTAATTCTGGTTTAAATAACATGACTTGTATTGTCTTGAATGTTCCACAGTATGGCATTAAATCTATCTATCTTGAATTTATTCAATTACAGTTCTTTTTATTGCTAAAACTGCTTTCTGCAGTGTTACAAATGCTACAGCTACATAGAAAAGTTCAAATGCAGTAGATTATGTCATTAAGGGATTGAAAAAGATACTTTAAATCCCAACAAAGTTAGTGAATTGTTTTGAGGATCCAAGGCTGAGTGTTGAAGTTTAGCACATGCCCTGAATTACCGTCTCCTGTCACAGCGCTGATCTACTTTCTAATTGTTTCTGTGTCCCCGGAGAGGTTTTACCACAGATTTACCAAAGCATAATCTCATTAAACGAACAGTGTCACACATTTCACTTTAATAATGAGGAACAATGGCCATGAGCTCCCAGGGGCTATGTGACACTTCTTAACCTACAACCATGTCTCCCTCTGGTGGACAAAACTAAAACTGAATCGTAGACAGACGTTCTCAATAATCACAACTACATTTTAACAATGGTACAATGGTGAATTATGGAAAACAAACTGTTGTGTTTCTTTACATTAATTTGAAAAATGTATGAATATGAAAAATGAATCTGACGCTCAAATGTGGGGGAAGAATACCAGCAATGTCAGTTCTCTATAACACAGCTATCTCAAGAGAAGAATGTCTTTGCTACCACAGAGACAGATTCCAAAAACTGGACTTAATGGGGAAAACCCAGTGATTCAGACCCAAGTCAAAATCAGATGCTAAAACTCAGAAAACATAGTACATTATTGCAGGTGTAAGACTCTTTCTTTACCAGTTTTACTAAGTTCACCTCTTACAGTTATACATGCACAACCAGTAAACAAAGCCTTAGTGAACCCTCCTTAAGTGAATGACCACAAAGGAGAACATGAAGAGCTGCTGATGGGGTTCAGTGGGACAGAGTGAAGTCATGTTTTAGGAAGTGGACACCTGCGGAGGGCTTTTGGAGGTTTCTGATGGATCGCCAGTGTCCTTCGGGGACCTGGAGGAGTACTCCATATTTAGGCGGCCTGAGAGAAAGCCAGTTCGATACATGATGTATAATTGATGTGAAGTAATGCTAAACCCAGTTTAAGCTCGGCCTCATGACTGTGGGCACAGAACGAGGGCATGGGAATAATGAGGATTGTGGAGCTTGTAAGGTTTAATAAATTATGATAGAAAATTACTAGTGTTTTTAGATGATTATTTCTGATACAGCACTCTATAGGTGGCACTAATGTGCCGACTGGTGCCTTCTGGCTCTAATTGCCTTGGCACACTGACTGCAGGGCACTCTGATTGGCATCAGCCCAAAACTACAATCAAAGTCCCTACATCATTCACTGAGAAATAGCTGATCCCCTTTACAGCCACTAATGTACACAGTTATCGAACATCAAGTTTTAATGCTGTAGTAAGCACAACAGAAGTTACATTAACTTTAACCCCATATAAGGGTTACATGTGCTGACTAAATCTAGTGTTTGTTTACTCACACAAAGTCTCAGAGTCAAATACACAAGGTAATTTTGCACACAATCACTTCATTCATCTCTAAATTGACTTGTTAGAAATCATATTAAAATGCCCCTAACAGCTGACATGGCTGTGAAGAGGGTGGGCTTACCTTCAAATGACGACATGGGCTCCAAGATGCCAAACTGTTTGAGCACAGCCATGAAGAGGATGATGACCACACCGATGGCACACAGCTCCATGCCATGGATGCCCATGTTTTAAGGGGAGCAAGGGGATCCCTCTGACCAGGGAAACCACCTCCTTTACGTATGTAGTGGGAAGGCACAGGCCAATCACAAAACCAAAAAACGTCCAATGGGGAAGTATAGTTTGTGTTTGGCTAAAGCCTCTGGGACAGCATAAGAAGTATCACTCAAGCTCCAGTCGTATCAACAACAAAAAATTGCAGAGCACGACATATATGGAAGATATGCCGCAAACTAATTGGACCAGTGTCACAAGTTATTTATTACAATGCATTAAAGCAGAGTCACTTTGCAAGGACAGGACGGACTCTCACTTCACACTCTGTCTCTTAATCTAAACAGTGATTTGAATTAAGTCATAACTGAAAGTGTGTACATCCTCTCTCACTCACGGAGCAGATTCTTTTACAAAGAAGCAAAAGTTCTGAGAGAACTGAGAACATGAACCAGCGATATAAACATGATTCGTTCAGCTTTTGGAAAAACAACATGAGCGACCGCAAATAAATAACCCATTATCTGAGCGAGCAATTTCTGAAACCTCCATCACATCCTGTATACACATGTACTCTCCTAGTCCTTATAAACGTGCAGGCTGCCAACAAACACTGTTCTAAATCAGTCTTATCGTTAACAAAAGTGCAAAAAAATGTAATAAATCAAATCCAAATAATCTGAGATAACATTTTCAAGCAATCTTGCTCTGGAGTAGTAGATGACCACACTGTCCCAAAAGGTATTCCCTCACTGTAAAATATCCGTCCAAACGTGCAAGCAGATGAAGTTCAATGCATCAGGAGTGGCTCACGGAAAAGGAAATCCTGTAAAATCCTACAAGGACACTCTTCTCCTCTATGCAGAATTCCCAAGCATGTTACAGCTCATTTCACTGTTGCTACTTCCAACTTCTCGCCCATAGTAACACATAGCCCATCTTTGGTTCTTCTCCGGTCCGGTCTCTCTTTTAGGTCTTTACCCTCACATGGTGGGTTTAGCCTCTGATCTCAGCTCCCAATCCTCCTCTCCATCTCCTTTGTCATCCCATAACTTTGGCAGACCGCAGACGCTCTTCCCCCCTGGGCGCTGTGGGCTCTTTGCGCTTTCACTTTTCTCGATCAAGTGTCCCCCGGTTTGCACCAAATATATCCGGTAGCGGGGGCACAAGTTAGATTACCCAAATAAAAAGAGAGTGGGTGAGATAAGAGGAGCAATAGCAGGGATCAAGTAACTCAACGACACAGCCGAAAATTTGTACTGGACAAAACGCCTCGCTCCAGTCCAAGGATTTTGTGCAGCTCCCGAAGTGAAAGCAGAGAATAAATACCTATGAGGTTGTGTATGTTTGACAGGTGATAAGAGGACGAATGATGACTCTGCAATCACTAATGCACTGAGACAAAATGGAGAGAGGGGTATGTGAGTGTTAATGCATTGACAGAGCTGGAGATGGCAGAGACAGTTTAGAGGCCAGAATGAGCGCGATCAATAACATGGTGACGCACTGCTGCTGAGGCCAGTTCCCTTTCTTACTCTGATTCTAATAATAAATAAATACAGATAACAGGATACATCCAGAAATAACCACTGTATCCACAAATACTTGCAAGTCAATCCTAGGATCTTCTGCAGGCCAATTGGGGGGACACAATCTTCTCCAAAAACAGATTTATTTCATGTTTGCTGGCCAAAACGGGAAAGAAATGGTTAATTCTAGTGGGGCCTAAATCCAAGTGGCCTAACAAAGCAGATGCCAGAATTTTGGTTTAAGGATAAAGTTAATAGTAGACACACAAAATATCAGCACCCTTTGACAATATTTTTAGTTAAAGGTGCAGACTCTAACTTGCTTAGGGCAGTATGTTTGTGTCTAATGTGAAAGTGAGTGCTTTAGCCCAGGCCATTAGCAGCTTTTTAAAGGGAAGGCCTAGCCCAGGTTGCTGACACAACTGTCAGTAAATAGAGACTCAGATAGGTTCCTCTGCCAAACACATTACTGATGATCTGTACCGTTATTGAACATTAGTGATGGAGCAAACAAACCGTAATCAAAGAAACAATAAGAGATCAAAGGGAATAATCCTGACTTTTCAACTATAAAAATAAACCAAAATATGTATAATATTTTTGGTTATCAAGATTCCCTGGGGGGTGTGATGCTAACTGTAGGCCCTGCTTTGTCTGAGGCTTTATTAGATATATATATATATATATATATATATATATATATATATATATATATATATATATATATATATATATATATATATATATATATATATATATATATATATATATATATATAATGTGTGTGTGTGTGTGTGTGTGTATATATGTATAGTCACACACAAGATAGCTCGCATTAGCAAGCAGTTTTTCAGTTAGTCACTCTCACTCATTTTTTGGATCACAGGCTCCTGAAAATGTGTTGTGTTTTTTTCTTGAGTTTTGAAATCTTTTAAAAAATGTGAATTTTTAAAACATTTTGGACTGTTTGCTAATGTGTGCATTGTGCATTCTAAACATTCCACCATTAAACATGCATGCAAAACACCCCCCAAAGTATCACTGTAAAGTATCAGTTGGTATTACTACTGCATATACTGTACATACCAAAAGCATTTTATTACAGAAACTGTGGCATCATTAAATTAAAATAACAATTTCTGATTTTCCTCAATAATATACTTCATCCATAAATAATCTATATCTAGAAACCCTTTTGTCACCAAATTTCAACCTTTTTTTGTTAAAAGGGCAACAGACATAATAGTGTGACTAGTCAAAACTAGTTACTAACATTATGGATGTGGATAATGTACAATTTATAAACAAAGCCAATTCAGTAAATCTTTTAGTAAATGTCTGATTATATTTTTTTGTCTTAAAAAAAAAAAAGAAAAGAAAAAACAACTCAACAATATTAGAGCCACCCTAACAACAAATGTGAAAAAGGGCAATTATTGATGAGTGCAGTGAATATATTTTGTCTGTGAAACTAGGTTTACATTTTTACATAATGTTCTAATACTTGTACAAGAAAGAAGATGGTGGTGAAATGACTGAAAGAACGAGGACAAAGTTAGCCAATAATAAATCACATAGAGAAGCACAGCCCATAGACGCACATAACACTGGGTCCACAGTCTAGCCCTACCTGATCGGTGATACCTGGCTGCACTGTGCCCACAGTGGGACAGGCAGCTCGGCCGAGATAAGCGCCTCCGGGCCTCCACAGAGAGAGCGGCCATCACAGCACCCATAATGCAACACAGGCAGCTCACAAACTCTGATTAGAATAACTGTTTCTGATGGAGCGGACTGAAGATGAGTGAACACTGGCAGAGCAACAGGTGGAGGGCTTGAGAGTGAAGCCCCATTTCAGAGTCTCTTTGAGTTTGGGATGGTGCTTCACGTGAGAGGAGATAAAAAAGAAGGACAGGATCAAACCTCAGCATGGAGCAGGTGACCTTTTAGATCAGACCTGACACCTCCACACTTCTTCACTCGGCGTTTCCTCTCT